TCGAGAATAATGACTTATGATCTCAAAATATCATGACTTTTAATATCTCAAAAATAATTGATTAAGTATCTAAATAATGAACTTTAATCAGTCTCAAAATAATCGCTTATTTCTAAATAGAGTGACTTTATATCTCAAAGATAATGACTTATGATACTCAAAATAAATTACTTAAATATTCCCAAATAATGATTAATGCTATCTAAAGATAATGACTTATATATCTTCAAAATAATGAACTTAATGAATCTCAAATAATGACTTAATATCTCAAAATAATGAATTAAAGTATCTAAGATAAATGACTTTAATATCACAAAATACTGACTTATTATCTAAAAATATGACTTAGTTCATCTAAAATAGATGATTGAATATCCTAATATATGACTTAATAATCTTCAAAATAATGACTATTCTCAATATATGGACTTAATTATCTCCAATAATTTACTTATTATCGTAAAATTATGCTTATCTAAAAATAGATGACGTAGCTTATCTCAAAATAATGAGTAGTATCCTTAAAATAATGACTTAATATCTCAAAATAATGACATTTTCTAAATAATGCACTTAGATATCTTCAAAATAATGACTTATTATCTAAAGCGTATAATGAACTTAGTATCTCAAAATAATGACTTAGATCTCAAAATAATGACTTAATAATCACTCAAAATAATGATTTAAAGTATCTAGAGAAATGACTCTGAATATCTCAAAATAATGACTTATTATCTAAAATAATGAACTTAGTATCTCAAAATAATGACTTATGATCTCAAAATAATGACTTAATATCTCAAAATAATGATTAAAGTATCTAAGATAATGACTTAATGATCTCCAAATAGTGATGATATTAAGTTATCTAAATAATGACGTAGTATCTAAAATAATGACTTAATATCTAAAATAGATACTTATTAGATGGCGTAAAATAATACATTATTCTCAATATAGAATGCTTAATATCTCACTAATAATGACTTAAATCTCTATAAATGACTTTAGCATATCTCACAATAATTACTTATATATCTAAATTATGACTTTCTAAATAATGACAGTATTATTCTCAAAATAATGACTAGTATCTAAAATAATGACTTTAGATATCTCAAAATATATGACATTTTTCTAAATAAATGACTTAATATCTCAAATAATTACCTTATTATCTCAAATAAATGACTTATTATCTCAAAATGAATGACTTAATACATCTTAAAAGATTACTTAGTATCTTAAAATAATGACTTATTATCTCAAAATAATAACTTATCCAGATATTAAGTCATTATTTTAGATAATAAGTCATTATTTTGAGATATTAAGTCATTATTTTGAGATCATAAGTCATTATTTTGAGATACTAAGTCATTATTTTAGATAATAAGTCATTATTTTGAGATATTAAGTCATTATCTTAGATACTTAATCATTATTTTGAGATATTAAGTCATTATCTTAGATACTTAATCATTATTTTGAGATATTAAGTCATTATTTTGAGATCATAAGTCATTATTTTGAGATAATAGGTCATGATTTTGAGAACGTTTCTCATTATAAAGACTTCTATATATCTTCTTCTATAAAGAATCCTTTTTTTTTCTCCGTCACTATGGGTGGAAATGAGCTTCCATAAAATCTTCATGCAGCACTCACAATGTCAGAGTTGAATGGCTTCACATTGATGTTTCGGATGGAGCTGCTGGTGAGAGACCACACCTTGGTTTTGTGTTTGAAAGCAGCTCTGACCTACAGAAAGAAGTACAGACAATGGGGACAAATATCAGACAAAATTCACCTTTTCACCCCAAATCAGGGAAATCTATTCTTTTATAATTAATATAAATATCAACACTAACACCTACAGCTTAAATAAAATTCTGGTTGTTTAGTGCAGTGGTTCCCGACCACTAGATATGTTTATTATATTTAATACATAACAATAACAGAACACTGTAACAACACATCTTTATAAAAGAAGTAAGTTAACACAAATTAATCCTCCAGAAACATTAGTCACTCATTCACATGTATTAAACATGACTTTATTTCATTATAAAACTGTAAACATTATAATTTTAGTTTATAATTCAGTTTATTAATCATCATAAACCCAAATATGTCTATTTCTATTTCTATGCTAAGATAACTGAAACTTCAAAGTTTAGGGTCTTGTCCGTTTTATATAGTCTTATTATATTGTCTTTTACGTCATTTTCGTCATGTTACTGTCACGTGCACCGGTTTTGATGTTTGGATGGCGTGTAATGATGCAAACATCAAAGTAAGGAGTGGAAAGAACAGATATTTGTGTAAAAATAATAAATAAATACTAGTAATAGTAAACTACAAGTGCAATAATGAAGAATTTGTTTGCTTGTGTTCATGTGTTCAAAGTTTAGCTCTTAAATAATAATAATAATAATAATAACTTTTAAAATAACTATTTCCTGTAGTTTTGTGTTCAGAAATGAATGAAAAGCTGAAATAAAGGTCTACTGTATATTTTTAAACAGGTCTTTTTACACCCTTTAAAATCTAGAAGGCCTTGCGACACCTCATGGGGGTCGGGACCCCTCGGTTGGGAACCAGTACTTAAGTGTGTGGACAGTTCACTCCCACAAGATCAAAACATCATATTTAGCATCTTACCTCAGAGTTGAGAAGACAGTGAAACAAGAAGACAAAGAACCCCTAAAGAAAAAGAAAAAGAACAACTTTAGTAAAGATTTTTCACAAATGGCCACAAAGAAAACATCGAGTGGAGAAGAACTTACTTGTAACGAGTTGAATACAGCAAAAATATATAAGAACGCCAATGAGTGTGTGTTGACAGCGAGAACGCCGAAGATCCAGGAGATGCCGAGAATAGGAAGGAGCACAGCCACTGCTTTTGCGGTCAACCTTGAAACAAAGCGAGAAACACACGTTTTATTATTAGTTTTTAATAAGAGAACGAGACTGTAAAACATTGATGAGTTCAACACAAACTGGGGAAAACGATCGTCTTAAACCGTCTATTAAAGATATGAAAGATATTAGTTTTGAGTGGAAGTAACTCAGGGTGTTTATTGTTGAGGTAACTTGGGTACAAATAAACTCACTTGACTGCATTGGCATCTCCGTGGATCTTGTAACTCTCTCCGCTGATCCGAGATATGATCCTGGTCACAGATATCAGAATGCCAATGTTCACCTGGAAATCAAGAACGGACATTTAACACAGTGGCACAGGAAGGAGGTTTAGTCTCTTTCCTCCATGAATACAACTTTAAAATGAATACAGATGATTTATGAGATCACATTATGCAGCTTTAAGACACTTTACTGGCTCTGTGTACATGAGTCTCCTCTTTGCAGACATGCCCTCTTTATGCTAATCCCATGCAGTTTATATAGTGGTATAAATGTAAAACCTGAAAAGTTAAAAACATTCTCAATTAACCAGCTTTTACAAGTAATTTTAAGTGACAAAGACTTAATGTTGTAAACTTTGTTTGTACTTTGGTTACAAAATACCTCATAAAAAGTAATTTTACTTAATCAGTAATGTTTCTGAAGCTTCCAAAATTAAGTCTGTGTCACTTAAAATTTCTAGTAAAAGCTGCTTAATCAGGAATGTCTCTTACAAAATTGAGTTAGTGTTTCGATGTAATCAGTTTCAACAATTTGTTTTAGTTAAATTATCATGTTACAGTGTGTAAAAGTGTTTAAATGTGTTATTTTCATTGTATTTGAGTATTTCTGCAGACTGGGGTCCATAAGCAGTGTTGGAATTGCAGAAATTGAGAATGACTAGAAAGCTGAGACGCGTACTTCAAGCCACCCCTTGAACGCCCTGACATGTTTGTATAAAAGGTGCTATATAAATTAAGATGAGCTGAACAAAAACTGTACAAAAAAAAGGACAAATGCTGTAAATTCCCTCACCACAATGACAAACAGAGCTGGTGCCACAAACGCCCAGATGGCTCCGTTCTTCAGGGAGAGCCAACAGCTGAGAAAGCAACGACAAAACAAACAAAAAAAATCATATTTCTTCCCCTTCCAAGTAAAACTGCTATAATTCTATAATGTCAATATTTAAATGACACATGTAGTTACTGTCAGCCTGAAAGCTTTTAAAATAAAGCTGAGTTTCGAATTTCCTCCACAGGTGATGTCATTCTTGTGCGCTGCCACCGAGCTTTGATGGAATAAAAACGGATTCCTGCGAGTGCAGCTCATACTTACTTGTCAACCTCGCCGTAACTGTCCAGAGCTGATGTCATGGACACCACACATATCACCAATGGAGAGCCTGATGATAATAAACAAAAGAAAACACATGTTACACATTCACTAAATATGTCACACTGTACCCATTGGATTAACCTGCTATGGGGGCCTCTGTGCATTTAACCCTGTTGTGTTCAAGTACCAATCAAGTACAGTGCCTGCATAACATACACACAATTTATTTATGGATAAGTCCAGTTGTTTTAATGGGCCTGTGGTTAACATGCACACTATATACTTCCAACTGCAACACGATCTCTCTGATTCTAGCCAGGGACCCTTTTTTTATGTCATTTCCCCTCCTCCATCATTTCCTGTCTACTCTCCACTGTACACTTTAAATTAAAGCATACGTTGCCAGGAAATAGAATAAGCACCGAGTTAACATAAGCGAAAGAAGTATTCAGCACTTGGTTTTGACACAGGGCTCATATACACGTCAGGGTGTCACGATCAGGTAATAATGGAATATATTCACATTGTGCTTCTCACCAGAAAATAAAACATATATATATATATATTAAATAAGTGGACGTGGCCTCCGGGTCTGAAAAGTAAAGCCTTAAACTGAAATGGAAACTAAATGAACATCATTCTGTATGGAAGAAGACTGAAACTAGAGATTGAGATCATAAACTCATAAGGATAACTTCCACATTGGCTTCACTTCACAGATCCCGTCACTCTGTCCATTATGCTGACCACTTTGGTCCACATTGAAACAATTATCCTACATAATTTGGTGATCTAGCAACGTCAAAATTTTAATTTGTCCAATACATTGTTGTATGGCTTTTCACACTACATTTAATTTACAATTTTACTAGACACCATATCTTTGGCGATGTAAAACACCACAGCATATGTAATGCCTTCTTCTCATATGAGACACTATGTGAAAATGATTCTACTCATTCTGCGTTGATAAGTAAGTAGATTGGGGCTTGTTTTACATAGTACTTGGCAGCTTTATATCTCCTGAATAATAACATTCGTAAATTAAATCTTGATTTTGTGATGAAGCAGTCTTTTGAAACATAAATTCCAATTATCGATTTATCACCCAGCTCGAGCTGTACCTCATTTTTAGAGCCAATGTTGGCATGCTAAAATACTAATTTAAAACTAGGTTTATGCTTGATACAGGGGTAAAAGCAGCAGCTATGGCATAGGTTTTGATTTGTAGTTCAGAGCTGGGTTTCAACTACAACTACAACTTCTCGCCTCTGATTGGTTGTTTTCGTTCAGGCCCGGTGGATTCTTGCAAATTAAAAAAAAGAAAACCTACTGCAGCTTTAAGGTACACATATTCACCATTA